AAGGAGGGGAAGGTGACGGCTCCCCGAGCAGAGCGGCCGCCATCCCCTCAGCCAAGCACCCTCCATGCCCGGCTGAGCCGAAGTGGCCGCCGCCCGCCACTAGAGGCTGCTCCACACCTCATTAAATAAACAGAAACCGCAATTAACGCACGAGATCCTGGACGGGAAGGCTTTGACCTCCCGCTTCCCACACGCGAGAAAGATGCGGGACATCGCCAGGATCTGATCCCCGCAATGAGTTTGTGATGTGCAGCGGCAGTTCTGCTCAGCACTCCCGGGGCCTTTGCCAGGCAGAGCCCTGCAGAAAACCCATCTCCACAGGTGCCCCTTGCCCCCTCACGGGGAGGTTCGCAGAGGTTTTATTTGTGAGGTGAGTTCCTTTGTCTGGCAGGAACAGTGTTGGCCAGGCAGCACCCCAGAAATTAATTCCCTTTTGGAAAAAAACCCAGCAAACGGCTCAGGGGTGAGACACTGAGGCAGCAGCGGCACTGGTGCCGCACTCACCGTGCCAGGACCAACGCAATTAGCACTGGATGTTCCTGTAACTCGCACCAAAAATTAATCTCGGTGCTGCCACTCTCACAAAACAATGCACAACTTCATCCAAGCCTGCTGTCCTTGTCTGCCTGGCACCTCGGGCTGCTGCCAGGGAAGGTTTTGTAGGCTCTGCATCTATAGTGAGTAAGTATCAGAGTTTTCACCTGCCACCTTCCTCCTCTCTCCAAAGCTCAGGCTCTATTTCTGTTCCCCCCACTGCCTTCTTTCACCACCAACTACGTCTTATTAGTTTGCAAAATTATAGCCTTGCTGTAAACCTGGAATTCTGAACTGAGGAGAGCCCCTAGCAGCAACACTCATATTTTCATTTTGTATTTTTCGCCAGTGATGTTCGTCCAGGGTTGGTTTTATTATTACTACTATTTTTTTTTTTTAAACACTGCTCTGGAAGGATAAAGCTGGAAAGCCCTATCTATTTCCTGGAAAAGCCAGTCTCTGTCTGTCAGTATCTGTCATGCTGTGTACACTGTGATTTAAAAACAGCTACAGCAATGCACAGACCAGGCTAGAGAAGGGATTTCTCTCACTCTAATTCCCATATTCAGTAGCCCACAGTATTTCTTGTTTAGTCCCTGTGCATGGGAAGGCTAAACAAGAAATAAACACTGAAGAAGTGACGGTATCCTCTTTTTGCACCCTGGGTTTTTTTTGGAGTGGTCATCAGCAGGGCCAGGAGATGCTTGTGGGTCCCTTCCAAGTCAGGATATTGTGGAATATTCCCCTTGTCTTCTTTTTCTCTGGTCTGGAAAACCCTTCTACAGCAATTTCTTGTTTTATAGCTTTTTATGGGACATGAAACTCTAGCATTCATTGCTGCTTCATAATCAATGTTAATTCTCCTTTTATGATTTTAAAAATCTACAAGCTCTACTCTTCCAAACTCAGTAAAATGCCATTAGTGTGTCTTGGGGATGATCCTATTTTGTTTACAGATCCCTTGCTATTGTAAGCCTCTGTGTTTCAATGGTACAGTTACCAGAAAACGGATTAAAAATTAAACTAACATATTGCTTTGTTTATTTGTTTTTAATGAAAGCTGTTTTGCAATTAGCTCTTTATTTGATCAAAGATTGCCTCTGAGTTAATTGTGTGGTTTTGCCCAGTCTATGATTCTTTCTCTGAGATAACTGGGTCAAGTTTTGTTTGTGTTGTGACCCACATAAACTTCATGGTAACCCATGCTTAGTTCTCTTTCCTAGGACCAGAGCAGCACATAGAGATGTGCCCATAAATTAAATTAAAAGCACAACTGTTGTGTAGAGTTGATACCAGCATGTCTTACTTTTTGATGAGAATTTTCATCCTCTGCTCTAGCTGCCATTCCTCTTTGGGCTACGTGCTGGATGAACATTGCAGGCTCTGGTAGAGGCAAGATGCTGCCCACAAATTGTGTGTGCTGCTTGTTGATATCCCTAACGATGCGTGTGTGCTGGAGAATCTCTGCTTTGGGCTTTCTCAGTTTGGAAACTCTTACAGCTATTTTTTAAATGCTGTTCCACCTTGTTTTGCAGTGCTGTGCCAGGCTTCAGACCGTTCCTCTTCCAGCCTTCTCCATGTTTGTTTGCATCATGGGCTCCTTCCTCCCCACACAGCTTTGAAAAGGTGAGAACAGCTCCTGAGGCATGGCTGATCCCAGCTTTGGCCCAAACACTCATCACTACCAGAGGTCATTAAGAGCCCTGCACTTGATGTCCTCCCTGTGGCCCTGCTGTGGCCATTGTAACCAGGGTCACTGTCCAGTGCTGTCTTAGGGACCATCATTTAGGAGCAGTCTTCCCCAGCAGCTCTGTAGATAGGAGTCACAGCCTGGCCCTCTCTGCCAGGAGAGCTCAGCTCTCTGTAGGGATGGACAGAGCCACAAACTGGTGCAGAGGTTTGAAGAGCTGTGCTAGGCAGAGATGAACCTGGCCCTGAGCTTCTCTCTAGGGTGTTCCTTCAGCAGTTCCTAACAGGTTTTGTCCCCAGTCCTTCGTGCAGTGCCTTTGCCGTGTCCCGCGCTCCGCGGTGACGCAGCGAGGACGTTTTGCAGAGACAATGTCTGGCTTTGCATCCCTGCCTCTTAGGACACAGCCCCTAGGATGCCTCTTAGGCCCGTGGTTCGTATTGTTCTGTGTGAATTACAGGATGTGATGGTGGAAATCTGCTACCTGGGATCTGACATGAATTGTTTGCTTTCTCAGGAAGCCTCACACTTGTCCGTTGCCTTCCCCTTTGCACACACATCCCTGTGCCTGCGCTCGCTCAGACACACGGGGCTGCGCCGTGCGGCAAATTGCTTATACACATGTAAGCAAATATCTTCTCAAATCATCTCTTATCGCCAAGTGGGGTGTGGTGCTTGTTGTTCAAGGGGTTGAGGTTGCCTTTCAATCTGCCAGGGCCAGCCTGACACCAAAAATAAACAGCATAAGCCTGGAATGGTTGTCACAAGGGGCAGAGAGAACTTGTCAGGCAGGAGTGTGTGAGCCGGCAAGATGATAATGTGGCATGACACTTCTGAAATGAGACACCGGTTGCCATGGTGAGGAGTCAGGAGGGACTATCTCTCCAGAGGCTGAAATAAAACATGCTTTAAATGATGTTTGATTAGAATTTAGATCATGTAACTGAGTGGCTGGACCCTTTTTTTTTTCTCCCTTCCTTTTTTTCCTCCTCCCTTTACTTGTCGTCGTCTGTGGCTGGTGGCAGAGTTCACTTTGGGAAGAAAGGGCTCTGGGTCCGGAGCAGCCCCAGCTGTAACCCCCCTCACTCCACCACTTCCAGCGTGCTGAGAGGTTACTTAGTTCCATGCCCAGTCAATTATGCTCCTTGCTAACTCTGCTTGCATTTTCCACTTGAGTCCATCATAGTTTAAACCAGTTAAAAATGATTCCCTCTGTTCTGAAAAACAGTTAATCAATAACACCCTGAGAATATTTCTTGCCTTCGTTTTCTTTCCCTGACCAGTCTACTCAGGGTATCCGTCACCTTGTTAATATATATTAAAAATGCAGCCCATGAAGGATTATACACAATATCCTTCTTGGAATTTTCATATTAAGGGTGGATGTGAAAGTGTGCATATGTGACAGTCTGAGTGGTAAAAGGAACCTGAAGCACAAGGGACTGAGAGAATAATGCAAAACAATTGTCCTTGTGGTCTTGTAAATGGAATAGGATGTTTAAAAGTAATTTTGGCTTTGTTTGCAGTTTGAATGCAGCACAAACCCAAATGTATTTTTCATGTCTCTCCCAGCAGAAATGGACAATGAATGAAGGAGCTGGTTCTGGGGGACAGAGCTTTCTTACTCTGCGGTGCCTTTTGGTCTATCACAATCTTGAAGTGGGTATCCAATGTCTGGATAAATCTGCTGGAAAACAATAGACAGCCAATTCCAGTGCCTGGATGAAGACAAAAACACCCATCAAAGAAGGACAAATGCATGAAGTTCTGCTAATTCCAAGATCACCTGAGGGCAAGTTTAGCTGGTGCTGATGCACACACAGCACCAGGGCTTTGCCAGGTGTCATCTGCAATTGGTTGTGAGTAGAAGGTGTTAAAATGCAAGGGATATTTTTTGTGTGGGTGCTGGAGTGAGCTGAGTTTGATGAGTCATTGTTGAGTGCACGTTGGAGAAGTCAATGCAGAGCAGGTGTTATTGGCAATTTTGGAGTGAAAGGCAGGAAGTCAATTGTGGAGACTCCACTACAGCCTACACGGTGTGGAGACACTTTGTACAACAGTAAAAGTGCTAATACCAATGAGGACATTGATACACACACACATTGCAAATGAGCTTCCCCTTTACCAGCACATTTCAATTGTGCCCATTTGCTTTGGTATTGAAACAGTTACACCAGGCCACTGAACATGTGATTACGTTTTTCTCGCCTATTAAAATCCCTATACGAGCCCATGCTGATTAGAGATCCTATTGTGTGTATTTAGGGGGGAAAAAAGGCTCTGTAGTGGCTATGCATGAGACAGAGTGTGTTCTAGGAGCCAGAGGATGCCCTGTAATTTATGAGAGACAAAGAGGTACATTAGATATTGTTAGAATACATAATAATCCCCTGGCAATAATTTATTTGGCTTGCAAGGTTAGGATCTCCATAATTCTTGGTTGCACTCTAATGAAGACTGCTGATGCTGATTATATATTTTTGTGTACATTAGAGGTACCTGTGAATATATGGATACTGTTCTTGCCTCCTGCCACCTCACTACTCACAGAGCTGCCAGTGGGACTATATTGTGTGGTCCATTTGTCTAAATAGTCCAGGCAAGTGCATCAGCTGTATTGGCTTCTTGTCAGTGGTTCTCTGTAACTTTGGGCCATAAAATGATCCTCTGCAGGTTTCACCTGCTTTTCTCACGCTGTTAGGACACCCCTGGCTCCAGGGTGACTGACACAAACATCATCAGGAAGAAAGGGGTTTCAACAGGACATGCTGTCCCTCTGCAAGTACAGACAAACCAGACTGATGTTCCCCTGGAAATTTTAAACTGGGAGCTCAAACCTGATTAATTTGTTGGTGGGATGGTGGGAGAGAAAAGAGTGGAGGAAATGGAAAATTCAAAACTTTCCTTCCCCCCAGAACTCTGACTTTTCATAAAAATTTTGCTCTGAAATCAGTTTATGATTCCACCTGTAAGGTCATTTCCAAGTGATTTATTACCATCTGACAGACCGCTCTGGGATTTTTGGTGACACTACACAGGTCTTTTGAGCTTTATGTTCAAATTTAATGGTGGTCACTGCAGCCAGAGGGATGAAAAATACCCATTCCTTCACCACGGTTTCTTGTACTGGCCTCAGGGATTAGAAAAGTAGGTCTTTTATTTAGTTACACTGTCAGCAGCAATTTGTATGTGAGTTCAATTGCTTGGTTTGGAGTTCAAATATTCCAGTCTGAATACAGCTGTGTGGGCTCATAAAGCATCCCAAAATCTGCTCTGCCCTGTGCCCCATGTCTGCATGGGGAATTGTGGTGGTCACTGCTGGGTGTAAACACAGAGGATGAGGTGGAAGGAAAGCCAGGGAAGAAAAGAAATCCATTTTGATGGAACGAGAGGGAGAACTGGGAATTCATGGATGAGAATCTTGCTGAGGGCAGCACGGACCTTCCATGGCTGGGTGTGTTCTGTTCACATCCTCTTTAAGAATCATGGTAAGGAAAGGGTTAAAACTGTTTAACTATAGGGCTTTTTTGGTGCATATTAATTAGGCACTGCTCTGTTTTATCACTGTAGTGCACTTTGTACAGCAGTTTTAAAAATGCTCTGAGTAATGTTTGCTATGCTTCCTGCAACCTAATCTGCCAAATAATTTAGGTTATCCATGCCACAGAATTGACTTAACACTGGCATAGAAATTAGCCCTGAAGTGCTGCAAGATCCCAGAGCTGCAGATTAGGGGTGTCTGATAAGAGCACAGGCCTATCATGATTTTATGCAATGTTTTCATGTAATGGTTCTTCTGGTTTTGAAGGCAGTCAGCATTTTGATCACGGAGATGCGTATTTGATCCTCACCACCAGAAAAGAGCCATTGGAAAAGCCACACTGGGCAGGCTGGGCTTTGCAAGGCTCCAGTATTAAACAGCAGATCCTTGCTGCAGAGCTGTGTCTGTGGCCTGGAGTCAGGCAAGGTCACTCACCATGGTAGTGACAGTAAAAAACCTGAAAGTTGTTTTTTTCCCCTTCCTGATTTCCCAGGTGGTGCAAGGCACTGTGGTTTCTCTGCAGTTGGGTGAGGTTTATCTGTTCAATCCACCTCTAGATCTCCATCTCCTGTTTCAGAGCAATATTCCATTCCATTAATTCTTTCCTGCTGAAGCTCAATGCATCTGGTCAGCTTCTGTGGTACAGGGTTCCACAGGATAATTAGGAATGAGCAGAGAAGAAGTGATCTGGAAATTATTATAATTATACACCTTCTTGAAGGACTTTCTATGGAAAGAGATTTTTTTTCTTTGAGCAGAGCATTAAAATCGACAAGATTCTTCCACAAGGAATTTTCTAAGGTTTTTTTTTTCCCATACTCTTGTCTTCCTTTCCTTTGGCCAAAGCACATACCATAACATTTGCATGTGCTGTTGCAGCACACAGCTCTTCTGATCCCACATCAGGTGTCAAATCTTTAATATGATTTCCTACATGTTTGACTAATCAATGCAGAACATCATCATGAAAGATAATTTTACCCTCTGGCACTTCAGGGACAGGATAATGAGGCCTGGTGTTTTCCATTTTTTATTCTTCCACAAGAATCTACATTTTTTAGTCCCAGCTAATTGATTTAAGTTCATGGAGGAAGGTTTTTTTCCCTTTTGCTTCCAGTATCTTGGATATTAATGGATTCTAGTGAGCTAGCAGAGCTGTGTGATCAGTGTGTTTAGAGATTCAATACACTGCCATCCTGACCTTTCAGAAGCCAAGGGAAAAACATCAAGCCCAGCATGTTGATCCCACGTGAACACTGAAATCTCAGGCAGCTTGGAGCTGCTTCAGCTGTCTGGAGAGAGGAGTTTTCTCCAGCAAGGGAGATTTGCTCTCAAATCATTTGCCAAACAGGAGGGAAGTTTCTCTCCCAACGCAGTGAGAAGTGGGAGATTGAAGGCAGAGGTGGAAGGAGAGGGGTGGAAACACTTTCAGAAGAGCTGGGGCACCCAGGTATTGCTCTGGAGAGCCTGGGCAGGGAGCATGGCATGGCAGGGTGAGGGGTGACCATGGAGCTTCTGCTCCCCTGGCTCCAGCAGGAGTCATTATCCTTTTTTGACAAAAAGGGGGTCAGGTTCTGCACTGATTGTCTGTGGAGCTGAAGGAATGGGACAAAGCCCTCTCCAGCAGGAGCTGGACTTTGTTCATCTCAGCAAAAATATTTCTTAGTCTAAATATCCTTCCCAGAGACAATGGGAGCTGTTGTTTACTGATATGACTGATCAAACGTTTCCCAACCACTGATATTATCTCTGTTGGCCATGGATCCACTAAATCCACTGGATGAGACCCAAAAAGAACTATGTGCCTGCTGCACCATGTACCTGAGGCTCTAAAAGGTGTGAGTTAGATGTGTTTTTATGAATAACCCATGCATTTCTTCAGTATTTTGCTATCATTAACTAGAGTTATTCTTGTATTATTATTTTTTTTTTAGGGATGGCAGCAGCTTATGACAGATTTGTTTAGGGTTAGCCCTATACATAAATTAAGTGGCAGATAAAATTTAATTTTTCTTATAAGAAAAGCCTATAGCTCCTTAAATTGCTCATTTAACATCACTGAAAAGTAATACTCCACTTTAGAATGGACATCGTATTAACTTTAAAAGGCCTATTTAAAGTGACGGTTGTCAGTGAGTGAAAGCCAGATATGGTAATTTCGAGTTACAAATCAGAGTGAGGAAACTGGAGAATGGACAACCTTGTTAACACAAGCGCGACGGAGGAAGCACCGGGGTCAGAGTGCCAGCACGGAGAGGAATAAAGACACAGCACCAAAAATATGTCCTATAATTAGGGCAGCTGTAAGAGTCAAGGTTGAAGATTCTTCACCATGACATGTCTGATATAGAAAAAGTGATAGCCAAGAGTAATCACTTACAGGCACTGAGCCTTAAAGGAGCAGCACTGCGTACCCTGGCTGGGGCAGGCCAGCCTGGGAGACAAAGAACGGGGGCACGGGGTGACTCTGAGCAGTGGGAGTGGGGAAGGGGGTAGGGAGGAGCTGGAAATTTCAAGGGTCAACACTCAAAGGAACCAAAAATAGAAAAAATTGCTCACTCGGCAGAGAGGTTTCTGATCATGGTGTGGAACAGTGGTGACTCAGAGAGCGGGGTGGGTTGTGCTGTGTTGGGGAGATTATTCTGGGTTCAGATCCGAGTGGATGAGCACAGAATTGCCTCTGGGGGGGCGCTGGGGGAGGATGGTGACAGGAGGAGCCGGGAACTGTGTGTTTGTAAATGGATGGGCTCAGGTACACTGGGCAGTGGGAGAGCAGAGCTGGGGAAGGGACAGTTTGGTGGGCACACAACCACGGTCACTCAGGAGGCACAGAAAGGAGCCGGACTCTGAGCAGGCAGGGGCACACATCCCCTTGGATGGGCAGCAGAACGTGGGGTGCAGGGATCTTCCTCCAGCTCAGCCTCCCCCAGGGCTGGTACTGATGGAGGGGAGGGGTCTGGTCCAGACTCCCCAGGTCAGCCCTTCCTTTGGGTAGGCAGTGAAATGGGAGCTGGAGCCAGCGTGTGGCACATTCCAGCCTTCCTGTGGGAATCTTCATGGACACAGGGTGTGGATGCTGGAGAGGAGCAGGGAGCTTCCTCAGCACCCTGGCTGAGGGAAGCTGGTGTGACCTGACCCGTGAGTATTTGGGGAATGCTCTCTTGTCCTGGCTGCAATGCTCAGAGGAGCATCCCTGACAGCCGGGTCAGAGTGGAGCAGGGGACAAGGAGACATTTCCATTAGTGGAGAATATCTCCGTATTCCAGTTTTCAGGGGATCCCTTGGGATCTGTGGAAACCTTTCAGGCTTTGTGCCTCATCCCTGACCCCCTTTGGCAACGGCTGTGTAAAAGCCCCAGGAGGCTGTCACAGGAGAAGCCATCTCCTCTTCTGCTGCCTTCTGCTGTATTTCCTCTGGGAACGATCCAGCCCAGGCAGTTAATGTGGAGTGACATGGGCACATGCTTTTCCTGCTCAGTCCCCACCTCCTCCATGGGATCCACTTGAAAGGATAAAGGAGATTCCGACTGAACTAAGACCCTTATCCCCAAACACTCTCTACATGAAAGGGTGTTCCCTGAGAACAGCTGTAACGTAGCATAAGCCCCCCGCAGCTGAGCTGCCCTGTCCTTCACCGGGGAGCTGG